CATAGTTTCCCCAACTGTAGTATAATGTTCGCAAAAAATATTTGCTATTTTTTCTGGGTCATTTGTGGTAAACAATGCATTTAAATCACTCACATACCTATCTATAATAATTAAAATTATTATATTATATAAATTAAACATAATAAAATATATATATATTTTTAATTTTCTTACATACAAATAGTGGGAATACAAAAGTCTAGGCTAGAAATAGAATTCAATTGTTTATCTAAAATAGTGTCTTGATTTACTTACTGTACATACATTTTTTTACATGACTTTTGTAAATTTGACTGCCATTTAAATTTTTTATGTTTTCTGGGATAAAGTTAAAGATTTTCGGAGCAATATACCAGAAAGAACGTTGACAAGGATTTTTGATTTTTTGATAGTTTGTATTGTTTTTTTTTTGCCGTGTATCATGTTCGTGATAAGGTAATTCAATTAGGTTTTTGACTTCCTGATATTTTAAGACAACTGTTAGATAATATAGTTGTTTAACATCGAGCACTTTACTTTCATTATACAGGGTGTCTGTAAAAGGTCTTTACAAAAACATACCACATATTCCTTAGACCAAAATAAGTCGATTTAAGTGAAATTACCTTGATACAAAGTTGCTTCGTTTGGGCTCCAGAGGGCCTTGAAGTTACAATTTTTAATCGTTATTCCCATGTAAATTTAAAACGGCATATGCGATTTTGTTGAAATTTGGTATACTGGTAGAGTTTTATGTGGCAAAAAAAATGGTATTAAAATTTTGTCCAATAATAATACAAAGGCGTAGAACTTGATTTTTTAAATAATTGCACCTTTAAAAATTCTACGTCAATGGAAGAAAAGGAGTTTAAGTATAAAATTTAAATTGCGCAACTCATTTAATTTAAAAAAAGGTACTCTTGATAAGACTCGATTACTCTCATGGTTTTCGCTAAATTTCTGTTTTAATAATTTAGAGTGTATAGGTTTCACAAAAATATTTATTTACAACATAATCAAAATAGCGATTTTACAAAAATTGTTCAAAATGTTCACCATTTTCACGCATACAAAGATTTATACGTCGAAGAAAATTAAAATGTATCCTTTCCATAACCTCTTCATCACCTCTAAGATTGTTTATTGCATCTTGAATACGTTGCCAGAGTTGTTCCTCATTTTCTACAGGTTCCCTGTAAACTGTGGATTTCAGATGTCCCCATAAAAAGTAATCCATCGGTAATAGGTCTGGGGAACGTGGTGGCCAGTTTACAGGGGTGTCATTACCTCTGCCTATCCATTTGTGTGGATATTGTTCATCCAAGTGGTTTCTAACGTTTAAAGAAAAATGTGGTGGAGCTCAATCTTGCATAAATCACATATCTCTCCGAAGTTGGAGAGCTAAATCTTCTAACAATTCTGGCAACGTATTTTGTAGAAAATTCAAATAATTTTCTCCAGTTAATCTTCGTGGAAGTATGACAGGAGCAATAATAAAATTACCAATTATTCCAGCCTACACATTAATTTTGAATTCGTGCTGAAAATGGTTTACCTTTATTGCATGCGGATTTTCAACGGCATAAACATGTTCATTATGGGTATTAGTTATACCTCTTCTTGTAAAACCCGCTTCATCGGTAAAGAGAACCTTCTTGACAAAGTTTGGATTTCTTTCTCTTTGCATATTAACAAATCGATAAAAACCCAAACGAATTTGAGGCTCATGGACTAATAATTCTTGTACTGGCTTCTTATGGTATGGATATAGCAATTGTTCTCTAAGCACTTTATGAACGACATCTTTACTTACTCCTAGTTCCTTTCCAATTCGTCTGGTGCTTAATTCTGGATCTTCTTCAACACGTTCTAAAATGTCTTCTTCAATTTCAGGAATCCTTACAAAACGTTCTCTTCCACTATCAACAATGTTGGGAGCAAAGGAACCGGTCTCCCGAAGACGTCTCTCAACAGCAGCAAAAGTTGGGTGGCTAGGTACACGATGATTTGGAAACCTTTCAGAGTACACCCTGACACTCTCTCGAGCATTTCCTTCACAAAATCCTAATGTCAGTAACATATCGGTATATTATTTATTGTTTCGGCCTTTACTTGATGAAAATCCATTTAATTTTGAAAGAGTAAAACCAAATTTGGTAGATTTTCACACTTTTATTTTAAAAATAAAAATTTAAAAAAAAAACACTAACATGACATATGTTTCGAAGTACAACTTAATAGTCACATTTGAAAAAGAAGTTGTACTTCGAAACATATGTCATGTTAGTGTTTTTTTTTTTAAATTTTTATTTTTAAAATAAAAGTGTGAAAATCTACCAAATTTGGTTTTACTCTTTCAAAAAAAAAATATCGGTATATTCTGCATTGGTATATTGTACAGCCATATTAATAAACCACGCATCTGTTTTTTTAATTATTGAGTCAGATAGAACACTTTCAATCGTTAACAAGAGATTAGGTGTTAAAACTTGACAATATTTTTATTTAGGTGAAACTATGGAAACCAACAATAAATGTTTTTGTATACGTATTGCAGGCAAATAATTAATATTCCTCAAAAAATCGTACATGGCAAGAATCGAGTATTTTTGTTAAAAGTCTTGATTAGAGGTGTTGAAGAAGATATGAAAAAAGTACATTTTTATGTTTTTCATCATATAAAATTTTGTCCGATAATAATACATAGGCGTAGAACTTGATTTTTTAAATAATTGTACCTTTAAAAATTCTACGCCAATGGCAAAAAAGGGGTTTGAGTATGAAATTTGGATTGGGTACTCATTTGCTACAAAAAAGTACCCTTGATAACACTCGATTTACTCTCATGGTTTTGACAAAGTTTGTATTTTATTAATTATTGTTTATGTTCTAAAATTACTAAAATGCAAATTTCGTTAAAACCATGAGAGTAATCGAGTCTTATCAAGAGGACCTCCTTTTCTTCCATTGGCGTAGAATTTTTAAAGGTGAAATTATTTAATAAATCAAGTTCTACGCCTATGTATTATTATCGGACAAAGTTTAATACCATTTTTTTGCTACATAAAACTCTGCCAATATATTAAATTTCAGCCAAATCGCATATGCCGTTTTAAATTTATATGGGAAAAACGATTTAAAAATTGTAACTTCAAGGTCCTCTAGAGCCCAAACGAAGCAACTTTGTACTAAGGTAATTTTACTTAAATCGACTTATTTTGGTCTAAGGAATATGTGGTATGTTTTTGTAAAGACCTTTTACAGACACCCTGTATAGATCGTCCGATGAGTATCGAGGTGATTTATTAAAAATTATTTTTAGGAACCTACGCTGGATTACTTCTACTTCAAAAATGAAAATTCACAATATTACATTATTATAGCAAAAACTGGGCACTACACAAAAACAATGACACAAAATAAATGCAATGAAAATAACACATTTAAGAAGAAACAGGGATAAACCAGTTAGAAATCAAGTTCTGTTCCAACTCCATCCCACTCTGCCTTATTTGGGCCTCTAACGGGCTCTCTTTTTTCGATTATCAAGAATATTCGATGAAATAGGTAAACCTTCGAACCAACCACCCCTTAATGATTCATCCAAGGTTGACATAGTAAACCGTCGTGAATCGTTGACTTCTCAAATTTGATGGATACGCCATTCAAGACACTCCTCGACCCCAATGCTAGATCTCGTAATTGCAATTTTTGGTGGATGAACATACGTTGATTGAAGATTAATCGCAATTGATAAGTGCAAAACTTTGATAGACATGAAAACAATATCCGGGAAGGAAAAGAGGTCAAGGCTATTTTCAGAGTAAATTATCGCTGCTACTTCACGATGCAAGTGAAGAGCTCGCTTCGAATTATAACTGTCAAATCTAATAGGGTTTGTACGGTGTTTACAGTTTTGCGGCCACCTACAAATACCTTTCGCAAAACCCTCCTATTGACGGCTAAACCATATACAGTGTGGAACCTATTTGTGGAATATATCTCATTCTTTTTAGGCTTACTTTAGAAAATTATAAAAAACGCTGGGACAAGTCAATTTTCAAATATAGTTTATCGTTTTCCTAATGAAAATATAAATATACAGGGTAACTTACATAAGTCTAACACTATTGGTTCTCTTTTTTTTTTTTAATGGAATGCTGTTCCTCATTTTGTACTCGAAAACTTCTATAAGCTAACTAACACGAACTACAACATTTAATGTATATGAACAACACAGGGTAAAATTTTTAATACACTTTAATAAAATTATAAAGAAAAGTTTTTACTTCTTCTAGACAAAAATGATACATGATCCATAATCCATAAACATCAGGTTTTATTTATTATTGAAATTTACCCAAATACTTTGATACTTACTTTATATGTCTTTGGCTAATTAAAATATTTAGCAGTATTTAAAGTGCACTTACAAGTTTTTTAAATAATTTAAAATTTCACCCTGTATGTATTTCCCCAAATGTTATAGTTCGTTAAACTCAGCTCATTAAGAAGATTTCAGAAATATAAAATGATTCATACTATCGTCAGTACTAAACTTACGTGAATCGTCCTGTGTATTTATATTTTCGTTAGAAAAAAGTACAATTAAATTTGATCCAACGTCAAAACAAAAACAAATATCTACATGTAAATGCTAAATAAATTTTCCTTCAAATAATTCCGTTCTCTTTTTGTAAAGAGTTTAATTCCTGAAGGTGTCATAACGGCAAACATCAATAGCATTATACCTTCGTTTTCCCCTCCCCCTTTGCATCGGAGAAACAGCAGGAGCACGGCATCGGCAGTAGCAGCAGCAGCAAGCAAGCAGCAGCGTCCGATAAGCCGTTATTCCGTCGCCCGAGCCCCCTCACAAAGGCCTAATTAGCCATAAACTCCCTGATTTATAACGGCACAGAAAATGCAAATATGAAATATGAAAATGAAGATGGCTGTAATAAAAGTGATATACGAGGCTCCGCAGAGCCATTTGTGAAGGCGCCATGACTCACTCGTCAGTTTTATGGGCGGACGTCCATCATGCGGATGACGGGCTTCATTGCTGTGCTGCCCCCGAAACCTCTCTGCAGGGGCTGCACCGCACGGCTCACTGTTCTCTGCGACTCCACTACGATGACGACGTCGTCGTCGACGGTCAGAGGTATTACTACAAATTTTTTCTAAAGGGTTAACATTTTTTCACTCCCAAAAATTATTGGAAATTATCCTCCAATGTTTCTTCTCTCTAAAAAAACAGTAAAATATTTAAAATTTTCTAAAAAATATATTCAGTAGCGAGTTTAAAATAAAGCTCAAAATCAATATACAAAAATAATTAATTTTCAAGACTAGATTCGGCTTACATGGCCTTTGGTACAAAATAACAATTTTATAATAGAAACGTTACTTCAAGTGATTGTTTTTTCAACTGTCAAAAAAGGTAAATATTGTTAAAAAACATTGTTTTTGTTTCTGAATTGAAAATTATAAAGAAAATCTAATAACTTTTTCTAAACTGGAAGCTATGTTAATACCCAAAATTCAAAATTATTATGTATTTTACTGTACAATTCTTTTTTATTTAAATTTACGTGTCTCGGCAGCTTGTTGGCCATTGACACAAAAACAGTATTATAATTACAGTCTTACATTATAAAATATAATATAAATATTTTATAAAACTTAAATTAGATGATACAAATAGGTATCTTGTGAAAATTTGAATACTGCTATAAATTGACTCTTCAATATTTCTTTTAAAGTCTTTGAAACGTAGTCTTCTTTGAATATCTGTATAATGATTGCATTCCAGGAGAAAATGCTGTACAGTGAGAGGAGTTCCGTCACAGTGCTGACATTGTGGAGGCGGAAATTTCCTTTTCTTTTTACGATTGCAGACATAGCCAAACCAATAATTGGTGCAGATTTCTTATCTAATTTTGGATTGCTACTAGATTTAAAGAAACAGAAATTAATAGATAATGAAACTTTTATTATTTCCACTGGTAGAGTAGAAAATGTTAAACAGGAACTTCCAAAGTTATTTACGGTTGAAAAACAATATACAGATTTCTTCAAAAAGTAATATAGCGTTTTTTCATCTCCTAATTTTCATTTAAATGCAAAACATGATGAACGTCATCACATAGTTACGCTACCGAAGGTCATTTACCTTATTAGCCTTTTTCCTGGGAAGTTTTGAAAAAGATCCGCTAGGGGCAACACCGGTGGGGGTACATATGTTTCGAATTCTCTATTGACAACAACGTCAAAGGTACGTTTTATTATTATTATTAGAATAAATAAATAATGTGATAAAATTAAAAAACAAATTGTCATGTCTACAAAACATTGTGCATTTGCTAATTGTACGTCTGACAATCGTTACAAGCAAGATGGTGTAAAATTTGTGCCTTTTATAAAACCAAAAGTTGACAAAAATATTTGGTGTGGATACATTTATCACGAAGGGCAGATTTAACAATTGAAAAAATAGAAAAACATACTTTTATTTGTACAAGACATTTTATTAATTCAAATGGACCAACAATAGAAAACCCAAATCCATTGCCAGCGACAGTTTCAAAGGTTAGTAACTATTTATTTAAAGAGGTTATATTTTATATCAGTCTACATATTATCATTATTGATAGTAAATAATAAACTTAAACTTTTTTTTAATTGTGTATGAAATATAAAATTTTGTGGTTTTAATTATCAAACGTAAAAGACAGCAACGATGTATTGAAGAGGACTCAAGCACTGGAAAAAATAAACGTCATATACTTGTTCTACTGTTAATGATGTTGAATCACTAACTGGACAAATTAGTAATAAAAATGCTAATAGTAATCCCAATTAAATAATGATTTAGCTTCTGATCTTGCACTTTTGCAAATTTCAATTTCGCTCCAGGTACATTATCTTGCGTTACTTCCATTATAAATCTATACCGGTGCTGCCCCTAGCGGATCTTTTTTAAATCTTGCCAGGAAAAAGGCTAATTGTAAGCCTCGAAGGTTGGATCCTCTTAATATAAAATTGCTAAAAAAGAATTCGAAGACATGGTGGACTTAGGTATATATATATATATCATCATCTTCAGTGACGTCACCATTGCATAAGGTTCCTAAGAAGGACTGTGCAGATTGGCGTCCTTGTGGTGATTATTGCCTTCTTAACAAACAAACGATTCCGGAACGTTATCCGTTAACATTGATATCAGACATTAACTCAAAAATTCATGGAGCTAAAATTTTTTCAAAAACCTACCTGGTTAGAGCATATCATCAAATATCCGTAGCCGAGGAAGACATTTATAAAACAGCAATCACAACTCCATTTGGTGCATTCGAATATCTACGTATTTCTTTCGGGTTACGTAATGCTGGAAATACATTTCAAAGATTTATTAATGAAGTCACCAGGGGACTTGATTCCTTATTCGTTTACTTAGATGACATTTTAGTTTTAAGTAAAATTGAACAAGAACACTTACATCATCTCGACATTTTATTTAAAATGTTAGAAACATATGGCGTCAATGTCAAACCTTCAAAATGTATTTTTGATGTCACTAAGGTTAATTTTTTAGGTCATATTATCACTCCAGAAGGCATTTTACCATCTGATGAACGAGTTAAAGTCATCTCAGTTTACGAAATTCCCAAAAATTGCAAACAATTACAAAGATTCGTCGGAATGATTAATTTTTATCACAAATTTGTATCTCGATTCGCACGAATTCGTTAATTATTTGAATCAGAATAAAATTAAAAATATAGAAACTTGGTCAGAGAAATGTGAAGAATGTTTTAAGAAAGAAAAAGACATGTTAATTAAAGCATCTCTACTTAATCATCCCAAGGAAGTGGCACAATTGATCCTGACCAAAGACGTTAGCTCAACAGCCATTGGTAGCACAAGTTGTCCAAAACATTAGACAATCTTTAGCATATTTTTCTAAATAGCTTAATCAATAACAGTGACGTTATTGAAAAAGAAGAAACCAGATGGTTATCACCGCCGTGCACATACTTTGAAATCAAAGTATGTGCCGCCGTGGTTATCACTCTAAAAACCACATCAAAATATGTGCTAAAAACACTGCATATAACTAAAAAAATAAAAATAATGACACAAAACTTTAAATATGAAAAAGCAACTGAAATGTCATAAAGAGTTTTGGACCAAGGTGGGATATTCGAAATACGGAGTGCAGATATGGTGAGTAAGTCAATATTTTTAGGTAATGAATTAAGCGTGTGGGGGAATGGCTGTAGAGATGTTCTGGAAGAGTAAGAGATTGTCGGATCTATAGGATTTATTAGCTTGTAAGCAGGATTTTTAGGAGAGGCTGATACTTTGGTAGAGTATAAAAGAAGTTGTTGCTGTTGATGTAAGTAGAGTGGAAGCTCGCGTGATTCGCAGTAAAAAGTTTTTACTGGGCTGGACCTGAACGATCCAAGGCAGATTCTTAGGGCAACATTTTGGACTGTAGTTAAAGCTTGTTGGACTTGGATGCAGCGATGAAAACTGAACTGACGTTGTCTAGCTTAAACTGCATCAAAACTCTGTATATTCTAACCAATACTTCTTCGTCTGCACCCCAGTAATGATGCAAGAGTGTCTTTAAAATGTTAAGTCGATTTAAGCAGTTTCCTTTGATTTCTTGTAAGTGGCGTCTCCAGGTCAGCTTATTGTCAAAAATAACTCCTAAAAATGTGTGGTGGTCGGCTACTTTTAATTGCGACCTATTAAGTGTAATGTGTGGAATTTGAGCAATACTAAACTTAATAACTTTCGATTTCGAGGAAGAGAAGTTAAAGCATGTTCTTCTCGCCCATTCGCCTAGATTGTTTATAGAATTCTTACCTTGGCAAAATAGAACTAGATCATCGGCATACAGTGTGCATTTAATTGAAGGACGTATTAAGGAACATATATCATTGATGGCTAGGAGAATTAGTTTAGTACTACGAACCGTACCTTGTGGTACCCCATTATTGGTACTATATAGGTTAGATGTTTTTCCAATAACTGTTATTTTTAAAATTCTATCGGTTAGGAAATTCTAAATAAAGTAAAAAATATTGCCAGTAATTTGAGTTTATTGAGGATGAAAGATCTCCATGTGGTATCAAAAGCGCTTTTAATGTCAAATATTACTGCTAATACACCTTGCTTACTGGATATCGCATTGGCTATGTTTGTTTGTAGAACGACAAGATTGTCCATCGTACAGCGATTCGGCTTGAAGCCGGATTGGGCTTCACTTAAAATATTATGTCGTTCTAGATGCCGTAGGAGTCGTTTGTTGATCATTTTCTCTAGTAGTTTACAGAGAGTACAAGTTAGAGATATAGGCCTAAATGAGTTTGGGTTTAGTGTTGCACTATCTTGTTTTTTTGTAAGGTAATATAATTGATTGTTGCCATAGAACCGGGAATTTTTTATTTAGCCAAATTATGTTGTAAAGTTCACGAGAATCATGAAGATGGAGGAAAAAGGAAACAACAATGACAATTGACAATTGACAATTGACAATTGACAATTGACAATTGACAATTGACAATTGACAATTGACAATTGACAATTGTAAAAATTAGTAGATACTTTTTTCTTAGATATTATATTACCATGATTATTCTAAAGCAACATTATTCTAGCAACACAAATCCAATGATGCTATAATTACAAGAATCTACCAGATTAAAGCTTCAAATTTCACATTGTGCAGCATAAAGATAGTTTATACCAACCATTACTTACCATTAATCAAATCAAGAAACGAACACATTGATCATATGGGTTTTTCAGTAGTGAATTTGGCTTTGCTAATAGACACTTTTGGGAAAATAGTTTTCAGAAAAAAAGGGTGCCAAGAATTCTCTTGTTTATTTTTTAAGAAGTTATTCAAAAATTATAATCTCTAGCTTTATCAAAAAGACAATTGTATGAGATATAAATTAAACTTTGAAAAATTACTTTTTAAAAATGTTCAACAATAAAAAACTAATTAATACAAACAATGTGTAATTCCAGCAACACAAAAGGAATTACTAAACCATATTAAATAAATTTAACTCGACTTTCAAAAAATAAACTTTAAACTTAAAAAGTAGAAATATAATTTCTACTCAGACATTATAACTCACCGCTATTTGCAGCCAGACATTGG